ACTTCAAGGGAAAGAGAGGCAGCGGTGATCCTCCCCAGAGTGGGGAAACTGAAGCACCAAGAAACAAGCTCTGCCCTAAAATCCTACCTTCCAGCCCATTTCTACAGTCAGATGGTACCATTTTTACCTAGGTGTTAATGTCCAGAGCACCTCTTCCGACTGCTGGCCTCATCTGTAGCTTTACTTCCTTTTGGACTACGTGCTTTGCAGGGCACTGAGCTAGCATTGTAAAGCAAGAACGTGGACTCAGAGGAAAGCCGGGGGGCATATTTTGCTGTTTCCTTAGCCCAGGGCGAAGGACTGAGGTGTAACTCCCACAGCCTCGGGAACTGCTGGTTTGATAACTAGTGAGGTTTTTCTGGCGAGGCAGGCGGTGTCAGCAGTGAGAAAAGAGAAGAGGGGCCCACAGGGGCTGCTGCACCTGGTGTGGGATATGTGGGGAATCAGCCTGTCCCGAGGCTGTCAATCCTACCCTTCCCGGGTGCCGTGGGGACGTTCTCAACTCATTAATTAAGCTTTAAGTGAATACATTTAATCCAATAACTGAAGATTCTCTCCGCCCCCTGTGAGGCTGATAATGTAGCGTGAAGTGTAGTGAGAGAGAGAGACGTGTATCCCGTGGGCGCCCCGCGTGCTGGCCCCTGCCCCTCGGACATTCCCCTCTGCGCCTCCCCGCCGCCCGCGCCCTCTTCTGGGCGGCTGCAGAACTGCAGGGACGAGCCCTAACCGCCCAGAGGGGCGCCGGGACTCCTGCCTCCCTTTCCAGGCTCCCCGCTTCCCCAAACCCCCCATTGCCATGCGTGGACGCTTGTTGCTGGGACGGGGGCATCTCCCTGACTGCTGTCTCCCTAGTCACTGGAGCTGATCCGGAAGCACGGGTTCTCGGTGGCTCTGTTCGCACCTGGCTGGGTGTACGAGTGTTTGGAGAAGGGGGATTTCTTCCAGAACCAGGACAAGTGAGTCCTGCGTGTCCTGGGACCTGAGTGTGGCCCATGGCAGGGAGGGTCTGAGGTGATTTCGCCAGCTTTTGGCCTTGCTCCCCTGGGGGTGGGGTTTAAGGCAGGGCAAGGGGTTCAGCTGCCCTGGCTGCTCCTGGGGGTCGTGGAGACCAGTTAGTTAGGCAGGAAGGACAAAGGTTGGGGACCCCGAGGGACCACTTCCTGCCGACTTGCAGTGGGGGGCTGCGGTCACTCGGGAAGGGGTGCCAGAAAGGCTGGAGTCGCAAGAGTGAGTTCAGGGCGTCCCGGAGCCCTCTGTGGACCTGAGCCTCCATGCGTTTCTCCACAGGTTCTGGAGTTTGCTGGAACGCTATCTGCCCACGCACAGCATCTGCTCCTTGCCCTTTGTCACTTCCTTCTGCCTGGGCATGGGGACTCGAAGAGTCTGCTATGGCCAGGTGCGTGGGTCCCGTGCTGGGTGGCCGGGGGCGAGGGGCTTCCCGGATGTGCCGCATGTTGGCGAAGGGGCTGCCTTCTCTCCCGTCTTTGGTCCTCACCTGGGACCGGTGGGGGGAGACTCGGGTGTGACGGCTCCATCTGCCCCCTGCCCTCCCTCCACTTCTGTCTCTTTCTTCAGGAGGAGGCCGTGGGGCCCTGGTACCACCTGAGCGCCCAGGAAATCCAGCCCCTCTTTGGAGAGCACAGGCTGGAAGGGGACGGACGGGGCTGGGTGAAGATGCACTGCTGCCTGGAAGACGCCTGGAACGGGGGCAGCTCTCTGCTTATCCGGGGGCTGATTCCGCCTGAGGTTGGAAACGTGTCTGTGAGGTAGGTGAGTGAGTGGGGCTGAGACGTAGGGCCTGTCAGCTTCCCCCATCATTCGTGTCAGTCGCCTAACTGGGCAGGTGGGCAGCAGAGGCCAGAGGGAGGACAGAGCCGGGGTTTTGTTTTATTGTGTGAAGAACACGCAACATACAGTTTACCATCTTCACCGCTTCTGAGTGTCCAGGAGAGTAGCATCAGCTACCTGCACACTCTTGTGTGCATTTTCCTTTCGCAGACCCGAGGCTGGCCTCGCGGGCAGCCCGCTCCCCCTCCCCGTCCTGGAGGGAGAAGTGGGCGGACGGGACCCGGAACAGTCCCGCTTCCCAGCGGTTTCCCTGTGGCCTCTCATCACAGGACCTTCCTCCTCCAGGTTATTCTCCCTGCAGGTCCCAGTGCCGCCCAAGGTTTTCCTGTCCATGGTGTACAAGCTAGAAGGACCTTCGGCTGTGGGGGTGGCTTTGGAGCTCACCACGGGGGACGCAGGCAGCTGTCACGTGGGAGACATCTCGGCGCTGAGCGGTGAGGGGATGGCTTCTTCCTTCCTTACAGGCCTCTGCCTTCTCAGGGGACGTCTCGGGGAGGAGGAAGCTAGAAAGCTGCACGGGGTGCGGGGGCGGCTGGACTTGGGGGCACTGCTGTGGTCCAGGCCTGGACGGGGACGTTCGCCCTTCAGTTGGAACCTCTGGGCTGTGGCCCTGCGGTGCGGGTTGGAGGTGTGCTGCCACGGGGCGTCTCGTGCCGGCTGCGCCCTGAGGGCGAGGATGTCCGCGGGCCAGTCCTGCTCCATCCCTGAGTTCTCTCCTCCCTGTTCCCCTGCTCCTGAGGCCTCAGCCCATCGGGCTGAGAGCACCTGGGGCCACCAGGGAGTCTTGCTGGGCCCCCGGCTCCCGATTCAGTGACACCTCCCAGTGCGGTTTCCTTTGGACTCTCCTTGTTAAAGTCTTGTGTCTCCTGCCCCAGCAGAAACGAGCCCAAGGCACAGTCCCCGACCCCTCCGGGTGCCCCCGACCAAGCTGGCCAAATGGGTGGGCCGCTGCGGCCAGCAGCTCAGCGGGGGCTGGGTCCAGCGGTGAGTCCCTCCCCTTCCTGTTGAATCCCCCGCCGGGGATGCCCACGCTGGGGTGGGGATTGAAGAGTGAGGGACCATCCACTGAGAACCCCCAGAACTGGCGGGAATGGGGGGGCCCTGGGCCGACCCCTCGGATTTCAGGCAGCTCAGTGACACAAGACCGCAGGATCCACTTTGGGATGGAGCTCCCTGTGGCTCGGGGCCTCTGAGCAGCCAGCCTGAAGGTGCCGAGCTGAGGCCCCTTGGGACCGGCCTCTGTTTGCCTCTCCCAGCTGCTACGAAGTGAATCTGCGGGGCTGCCTCCTGCAGGCCCTCTTCGTTAATTTCTCCCGGGCCCCGGGCAGCCAGGAGGAGAGCTTCGTCTGTCGCCTTGGAGAGATCCAGGTGACGCATCTCAGGGAGCCGGCTGGGGCTCGGCTGGGGCATCTGTCCGGCTGCGGATGAGGCCGAGCGCCCCGCTGCCGCCTCCGCTGGCCCAGGGGGATTGGGGCAGAGGTGCGGGCGGTGGACCTTGCGGGGCAGGGCGCCCTCCAGCCAGCCCTGGGCTCTCGGGCCGTGCTGAGCCTTCTCTCTTCTGGCAGGTGGTGGATGCCAATAGCCTGCTGACCCCTCTGCCTCAGGTGCAGGCCGTGACTGTCTCGCAGGTGCGCTGGCAGCCGGCCGCCTCCGAGGGGGAGAGCGGCCCCGCTGGGCTCCGGCTCAGCTGTACTCTGCACTGGGCCTACCGCCTCCCTCACGCCCGATGCTTCCGGATCCACTGCTGCCGAGGGTCAGGAGGTGACGCTCCTTGCAGGGGGCCGTCGGAGCCAGAGAGGCCCACGCTCCTGGGCCTGGCTTTTGTCAACCGGTATCGGATAGTGGACCTAGCAGTGGCACCCGCAGAGCCTGGCCGGGATGGCCGTGTGGAGTTCCTGGTGGAGCCCATCCCCAAGGAGGGGTTTCTGGTGCCACGGGCCGAGTGGGGCAGGGCGGCCATGCTGTACTCCACGCCCCGCACATGAGCGACCATTAAAGCACAGAGTCTCCCACCTCCAGGATAAGGCTTCTTCTGCACTGGGGCCTCACCCGTGTGCGGGGAAGGCCCGGGTCCCAAGGGCTGGGCCAGAAGATCACAGGCCCCGGAAGGCTGTGGGCTGTGGCTCTTCGTTGGGGCATTGGGATGGGAAAACTGAGGAGTCAGTTTGCTGAGTTGATAATTTCAGCAGTGAATGGACCCCCCGCCTTTTTGTCTAATCCCTCTCCGTGGTATACAGTTTCCGGGTACAAGTGAAAAGATTTGGGAAAATTTAGTCTAGAAAATTCCATAAAGGGTATTGCCTAATAGGCTGAAAGACGCTTATGCTGACAATGGTGACCTCTTATTCCTGCAGTTGGAACAATTAGGAGCGAGCTTAATTGTGGCGAGAGGGCCTGGAGTAGGGCCCTCGAGACGCTTCCAAGGGTGGGAGTGAGATAGAGGGGCCCTGATGGGGCAGGAGAGCAGCGGGGGGGGGGGGGGGGGGGGTCAGGGGGGGGGGGGCATCAGGGGGGGGGGCAGCGGCCCCTGCAAATGCTGAGAGGGTGTCCCGGGGGACCTCTTCCCCAGGAAGGGAGCCCCAGGCCAGGCTGTGCCGGGTCACACCAGCCCCAGGCAGGGCAGGCATCTGGGCCAGACCACCTCGTGTCCTGGCTTTCCCAGTTTACCGTCCCCCTGAGCCAGAGCCACTTACGAGCATTCCCATCGGCCCTGTGTCCTGCTACGTCTCTTCCGGGTCGTAGGTGCAAGCTGGTGAGCCCAGTGAGCTCGGGCAGCAGGAGGCCGGGCAGGGCCCAGGAAGGCCCTCGGGGGGCACCCAGCAGCCCCCCAGCCCTGGGTGCGGGCTCCGGGCCGCCTCCGTCACACCCTCCGGCTCCGCCGCTCCCTTGAGCAGGTGTTAGTCCAGAGCATCAAGGCATCGGGACAGCGGCCCGCCCCACTGTGGCCCCTTCCTCCCGGTTCCTTCTCTCTCTCTCCACAGGGAGGAGGCGGGTAGGCGAGCCAGAGATGGCTTCTCCAGCCACACAGCTCCCCTGTTGACACCTGGGCTGCTGCGGTGGCTTCCCGGGAGGGGGTCTCGACCCCGCAGCCTTGCGTAACCCTGCTCCCCTGCCCTCTCCAGGCCTGAGTGGGCTGTGCCCTGACCCTTTGATGAAGGCCATCAGCCCGTCGTTCTTGGGGTCTCTCACCCCCAGGCCTCATAGGCCAACGATGGGGGTTACTTTCCTGTTCCTCTTGTCCTTCCCCTGTGCTTCTTGATGTGGACGATGCCAAGGGCCAGGACTCTCTGGGGTGACCTCCCAGCTGGAGGGTTGGCCCCCCTGTGTCACGCAGGGTCAGCAGACTTGATTTTTACGCCGCAGTGAAGGAAGTGGCCGCCAGGTGGCAGTGCAGCCACACAGCATCCATCCTGGTCCTCGGAATTCGGAGAGGACCGCAGGACACTGAGGGGTTCTCCTTCCGGGGCTGACGTTTGCCTCTGTCTTCCACCTGCCCTGCTTCCCGGGTGCCCACGTGCCCTTTTCCCAGCCCGACGCAGGACCTCTGGTTCTACGTCTTTCCTAATTGGGAACGTTTTACTCTTCATGCCCCACGCGTGTGGCCCAGCTCAGCCCCAGGACGGGAATAGGTTTGTCTGAGGGGGGGGAAGAGGGTTCCTGCGGGCCAGGAAGACGCCTCCACTGGCTGACCCCGAACAGGTCTCCCAGCACCCCAGATTCTCCTTGTGAATCTGGAGCCTCAGGAGACTGTCGGGGTTGGGGAACCGCTCCCTTGACTCCCCCTGGCATGCTTTGAGTCCCCCACCCCCAGTTTTGAACTTGGGGGAACTGAGGTGGGGGCTCCTGGCTCCTCCCACCCCAGTTCCCAGAGGTGGCGGTCGGGTGGGGGGGCAGGACCGGGCACCCGGAAGTGGGCAGCACAGCTGTCGTGCCCCACTGCTTATTTCAGGAGGCTTTTTTTTTTTTTTTTAAAGTGCTGGTTTTCCGAATATGTTATGCAGAGAAGGAGGGAAATTTTATAGTGGCAATTATCTTCCCACAGTCTGGTGAGCAAGCAATTAAGAGAAAAGGGGGTTTAGCAGAGCATGGCGTGCTGCGGGATCGCACAGCCCCATGCTTCCCAGGAGCACGGTCCCCAGTCCCACCGACGGTAAAGGCTCGTATGCAGGAAAATAATGTCAGGCGTTTAAGCCTGTGCCCCTCTGGTGTGTGTAATCGCTCCGAAATAAATGATCCGACACTGTGAAAAATGAAGAGCGCAGGTCTTGGTGAGACGTGGGGCGGACAGCGCGTCTCGGGTTTGGAACCCGCCCCCATCGCAGCCCCCAGCCCAAGACTTTCAAGCTCTTGGTTTGGATTCTAATGCTCCCCTTCCCAGCTCTCCCTCCTCTTCTGGCTGGGGGTTGAGGATGGCGGCCACTGTCCTCCACCCCACAGCACCGGGGCTGGGGACTCACACCCGGGGTGGAGCAGTGGGCTTACCTTCAGGCAGCTCCTTTCCTTGGGACCACGGCTGGGCCCCGGCGCACAGGCAGAGCCAGTGGTGTGGGCAAGATCCCCGAGAGCACCAGCCTCAACTGCCCAGCCGGCCCTCTTGAATTCAGATGTCTGCCCCACCGGTCATCAGGCACACATGTGGAGCAGCCACCACTCAGCAGCCGGTGGGGCCAGGGGGCCCTTCTGCCCCAGACTCTGCTGGTAACGTCACAGACCTTGCTCGCAGGGTAGACAGGGCAAGGCTGCAGGGAGCACGTGTGAGCCCTGCCTCCAGACTCTTGGGACGGGATGGGGAGATGGCAGTCTGCAGGAGAGCATGGGGGCTCTAGACTCTCTCCCATAGGGTCTTCTGACTCCCCTCTGGCCACCTGGCTTCCTGGGAGGAGCTGCCCGTCCTGGGGCCACCCACAGTGGGCGTCCTGGTCCTCTGTGCCCTCTACCCTCTGTGCCCGGGAGCTGGCAAATCAAAAAGAGTTGTCCTGGTTTGAAGAAAAATCTTTATTAATAATCTTAATAATAATAATGCGGTTGATTTGAATGGTCACACCTTGGAAGCATACAGAATGGTAAGAAAGGAAGCCTGGGGCCTGGCTGCAGTCCTGGGGTTGAGAGGGATGGGAGGGCGCAGGGCCGGGGGTGGAGCTGCTGCAAGAAAAGGGTCCACAACAGCAGAGGGTGGAGGGGCCTGTACAGAGGACGAAGCCGGAGGCAGGGCGGGGCTATGTACAATGGGAATAGAAAAGGAGCCTCATCTCAGTAGCTTCAGGAGCTGATGCTGAATATAAAGTGAGGTGTATTTTTTTTTCCTTTTTAAGTTTCATGAGACAGTGGAGCCATGTTGGGAGCCTACATCTTTTGTTGCTTTTTGCTGCTCCCCCGACTCCAGCTCTCCCTGCCTGGCCAGTGGCTCCTCCCTGCTGCCTGCTGTCCGTTGCCCCCGCGACTCCAGGACCTGAGCCGGGAGCAGGGGAGGGGGCTGCGGACCGCCCAGGCCTTCCCCCACCCCTGGCTCTCCCTGCTTGGATGTGCCGTCCAGACCCATAGCACCGTGACCCGAACCCTCGCTGTGCAGCCAGGTGCCGGCCCGTCCCTCTGTTCTTCTCTGCAGGACTGGGCCCTGCAGGGCAGGGGCCAGAGGGCTCTACCCAGCTGCAGCGTGAGGCTGGCCTTTTCTCTCCTGGACCAGGCCCAGGGCCTCCTCCAGAAAGGGAACCAGAAACGACCAGTCAGAACAAGACCTTGGCCTCAAGGCCCTCACCCCTGGCTGGGCAGCCAGAGCCCCCTCATGTGGAGGGAGGGGGCCTGGGTGCCCTGTAGTTCTGGAAACATATCAGCCCTTGGTGTTGAGGTCGGACACCAGGGCTGCCGGTTGGACAGCCTCCAGTGGCTGCAAACTCCTTCCCAGGTTCGCAGGACACAGGTGTTGGCGGCGCGGCAGGAGGGGTAGCCGGGGCCCAGAGCGCAAGACACAGGGTGACTGGGCACAGCCGAAGCCCCGAGATGAAAAGCAGCCCCCGTCCCCGTGCCTGCCCAGCCGTCCCTCCGCTGGCACAGTCGGCAGCCAAGGTCGAGTCCTGCTGGCCACTCTTCCTGCTTGGGCCTGCAGCCGCTCGCCACTGGCCCACGCTGCCTCGAGTGGGGCCCGGAAGGAAGACGTGGTAGAAAACGGAGTCCCTCCCCTCCCGCCTCCCTCCTGCCAGCGTCCTGCCGGCGGCCGGGGGCCGCAGACCTGCTCCCTTGCTGCGGTGCGATGGCTCGCGGGCTCGCGGACTCGGACGTGGTGGATGCTTCTCGGTTTGGCTGGCTGTTTTGCTGCTTGGATCTGAACATCTTTTTTTGTTTTGTTTTTTGTTTTGTGATTTTTTTGTGTTTTTTTGTTTTTGCCCTTCATGGTCCAAGAAGGAAACGGTGGAAGCTTTCACTACAACAGAAACAGAAAGGCGCGACTTGCAGTTCACAGGACACCAGCCAGGCGTGCTGCCAGGGCAGCGGGACCCGGGACCCTGGGTGCCAGGAGGGCAAGAGAGGAGGCGCCCCCAAACCGGCCCCACTCCCAGCTTCAGGAGCCCCCTCATCTTGCGTAAGGGAATTTAATGCAGACCTCCAGCCTCCAGGGCGGAGAGGGCATGGCCAGTGGTGGGGGCAGAACCGGGCAGCGGGGATGAGCGCAGCTGGCAGACGCAGCTGGTGGACTCTGCTAAGACCTGGGTGGGCAGGGTCTGGCTGCTCGGCGCAGATGAGGGCAGAGGTCAGGGCGTGGTGGGTGGATGATGCTGCATGGGCCACGTGGGGGTCTGGAATGAGGCAGCTGAGAAGGTGCTCTGGGCACTGGTGGTGAGCTGGCTGGGCACCCTGCGTGTGACCTGCCCACTCCACCAGCCAGGACAGATGTGCTGGTGGAGTCGGCGGAGGCTCACGCCCTGGCTGGCGGGGACCTGCACCCTCTAAGCTGGCCGTCCACACCCCTGGAAGCCCAGCTCTGGCACATAGGAGACCTGGGCCTCCTTGGTCCTTGCCACTTTTCCCTGTCGCAGAGGTACCAGGGCCGCATATGAAACTTGCAAAAGCTCCCGCAGCTGTCTCAGCTTCACCTGCAGGCCCCAGAACCCTGCAGCAGAGCTAAGCCCCAGGCCTCTCGGGACGGCAGGTGGATGCTGGGCACTGTTCTGCCAGGGAGTCCGGAGGACGGGCACCACCCTCCCCTGCTCTCTCACTCAGAGTCCCCCTCCGGAGATGTACCTGGATAAGAACGTTTCAGGTTGGGGAAGGGGAGATGGTGGTGCACTCTGGCGCTGCACAGACCCAGGTGCCAGGCTGGCAGGGACCCCATCTCAAGACTGTGGCTGGAGAGGACAGACTGTGGGCGGTGAGGCAGACGGGCTGAGCGGAGGGCCCTCGGGCGCTGCAGGGCTGGACCGCTTTTGGGCTCTGGGGCAGGGAATTTTCTCCCTACGCTCTCCCTTCTTATAACAGAGGCTAAGGAACCCCTGAGGCTGGTGGGGCTCCCGCACGACTTGTGACAACTTCAGCAG